GGTTGACCGATGGAGGGAGGATCAACCTTAGTAAGGTTGACCGATGGAGGGAGGATCAACCTTAGTAAGGTTGACCGATGGAGGGAGGATCAACCTTAGTAAGGTTGACCGATGGAGGGAGGATCAACCTTAGTAAGGTTGACCGTTGGGCGCTTGAGGGAAGGTGCTCACAGAAGTTGACGGGGGTGTTGTGTTGTGAGCGAGGGTGTTACACTTTCGCCCAACCCCTCGCTACAATTTCAAAGGGGGGACTTTGTGTTTGGTTTCCCAAGTCCCAAGTTCCATCAAGTTGCAAGTCACCTGGTTTCCCAAGTCCCAAGTTGCAAGGGCGTAGGTTCTCAAGTTTCCCAGCTTCAATCCATCAAGATTATTACACCTGCCCAGCGCGGTCCGCAATTTGGGCCTAGAGCTTTGAAGAGTGTGAGCGATCGGGATGGGAAGTTGGGTGGGGGAGAGATGGAAGAAGAGAGCGAAGGAGAGAGGGAGACGCACCAGTGCCACGGGCACACCACCCACCCAGCCATGCAGCGACTCCAGCAACACTCACCGATGCAGCGACCATCGAAGATCAAAATGTACCCATCGTTGCAACCACATGTGTCGGTCCCTGCACCATTCTTGTAACAGAAGGGAAGTGGACTTGAGGAACTGTTATTCCCTGCACATTTGTTCACAGCGCATGGCTCTGAGGGGAGGTGGGGAGGGAAGGAAGGGAGAGGCACAGGAAGCAGCAATGGAAAGGCACTGAGGGCTGCCGGTTTGCAAGCATGACTCTCACTCAAGGCAGGAAGGGAGATGAGGAAGCTGGGTCAGCTGAGCCAGAAACACCCAAGACTTGCATTGAGTCCCACCCACGGCTATTTGCACAGCCACTGCAGCATCACTCACCCTTGCAGCCCAAGGGAGTCATGGTGTAACCACTGTTACAAGCGCACGTGTTGCTCCCTGTGGCATTCTTGTAACACACGGCATCGGATCCACACTCGTTCCGGTCGCATGGTACTGGGTGTGGGGGTAACAGCAAGCAAGGCAAGGGCACGCATGTGAGGCAGGAATTGAATCGCCTCAAAAGTCAATAGTCGCGGCTTTATCCGCTATTTTGCTTCGCCGCCATTACATGGGGCGGGTAAGAGGTGTGGGGCGAAGGGAGAGCATGGGAGAGGAGGTGCCTAGGGGGGAGAGGGTAAGGGAGCACAAGGGGCCGGATTGGCGTATGGGGCAAGGCAGCCAAGGAGGACGAGAGGAGCAAGAAGGGCAAGGGGAAGAGCGGATGAAGAATCGGCAGGTTCATTCATGAAGAATGGTGCATGCGTCACGGGGCATGGGGAATGGGCCATGAGGCATAAATGGACCATGGGACATGGAATGTAGGATCACGGGACACGGGAACGGGGCATGGATGGAGTATCATTGTCTATGGAGCATGGTAATTTTTGAGTCGACTCAAAAGGAATGAGATATCACCCCTCAGCTCAGCACAGTCACTCACAGGCACACGTCTCATTGGGGAGCATGACTAGGCCAGGCTTGCACGAGCACATTCCATTGACGCAGTGGCCAGTGGTATTTTTGCAGTCCTTCAGATCTTTGCACGTGGCTGGTGGAGTGGAGGCACCACAGAGAGGATCGTAGCACAGGGGTAGACGGGCGCAGAAGATTGGGGGGGTGAGAGACAGGAGAACACGGTTCTAGAGCAGGCCTGGCTAGGGCTGCTTCTCTTTGATGGATCCCGGCAGGGAGAGACAGCAACAACAGCAGCAGCAACAGCTGGAACAGCAATGGTGCTGACAGCAACAGCGGCAAAGACGGCAGCAGGCGGGGGTGGCAGGAGCAGAGTGAATCAACTCACAGACACAGGCTTGCATGTCCACGTTCCACAATTTCCCCTTAGGACAGGCTGAAAGAGGGAGACAAAAGCGAGATGGAGAGAGGAATGCATTATTTGTCGTCACTTCAGAACTTGCGAATTAGCTAGGTTTTACTACAACAACTGATTTCTCCTTTGCTAAACTTTCTCCTGCAGTGCAGCTAGCAGGAACATGTCTGGAGATCGAGATGGAGAAAGGAATGTGTTGTTCGTTCGTCACTTCAGAATTTCCGGCGAATGGAGAGAGCAAGAGAGAGAGATATAACGGCCTTCGGCCGCGCATGAGGGAATGGGTCAGCAGTCAGGAACATATTACTACCACAACCATGGATGCAACATGAAAGGACAAGACAAAGGGGCGATTCTACTCGCGAAGGGGCGCTACTACAGCATGCGGTCTGTTGGTGTTACCTATGCATTTCCCAGACACATTTCTGAAGCCCTGCTTGCAAATGCACCATGCCTGGTCACCTGTGCCCTTGACACAGGTGGCGTTGGGACCACAGTTCTGCATAAGGCACGAGTCTGGAAGGAACATCGGAGAGGGGGGGGGAGAGAGAGATAACAAGGGATTGGAAGGCTCGGGGTCAACGCGTGAGGATTTGAAAGAGAATGAGCGATCGGGATGGGTATTTGGGTGGAGGAGAGAGCGCAGGAGAGGAGAGAGGGAGACGCAGGCACTTACCAGTGCCACAGGCACAGCACCAGCCAGCCATGCAGCGACTCCAGCCACACTCACCGATGCAGCGACCATTGGAAGTCATGGTGAATCCATCGTTGCAACCACATGTGTCATTCCTTTCTGCATTCTTGTAACAGAAGGCATTCGCTCCACATTTAGTCACAGTGCATGGCTCTGAGGGGAATGGGGAGAGAAGGGAAGGAGAGGCACAGGAGGCAGTGATGGGGAGGAAGTGATGACAGCTGGTTTGCAAGCATGACTCTCACTCAAGGCGATAAAAGGGGCTGTGCTATGCACTGACTCCCACGGCTATTTGCACAGCCACTGCAGCATCACTCACCCTTGCAGCCCAAGGGAGTCATGGTGTAACCACTGTTACAAGCGCCCGTGTTGCTCCCTTTGGCATTCTTGTAACACACGGCATCGGATCCACACTCGTTCCGGTCGCATGGTACTGGGTGTGGGGGTAACAGCAGGGGAGGCAAGGGCGCGCATGTGAGGCAGGAATTGAATCGAATCAAAAGTCAATAGTCGCAGCTTTATCCGCTATTTTCCTTCACCGCTGCTGCTCTTCACCCTTACATGGTACTCGCTGCACAGGCGTTGTTGGGGCATGGGGTGGGTGAGAGGTGTGGGGGGGGCAAGGGAACATGTTCGAGGCGAACCAAACATTTTTTTTCTTTCTTTCTTTTGCCAAAAGTGTTTGGGTCGAACATGTTCATGTTCGTTTTCGAACAGCGACGAACACAAATGTGTTCGTCGCGAACGTCCTCTGATCGAAGGCGCCAAGGGCCATTTTTTCCATCAGATCTGCGCAAATCTGGCATCTCGCCGTCAAATATGCGCGGACCTGGCATCTCGCCGTCAGATCTGATGGCAGAAGTGTGTGTGTGTGGGGGGGGGGGGGGACGGGTGCCACGATTTGAGTTTTACTGGAAACCAGTGTCAATGTTAATCCGTGTAATTTCACCACGGGAATGCTGTGGGACTAAAACGAAATGAGCCTACAAAACTAACACGAACATGTTCGCCTCAAACATGTTCGTTGTCGGGCCAAAAATGTTGTTTGGTGAACACCGAACACCCCTTTTCGTTGGAGGTGTTGGCCCTTTGCTCAACCCTAGGAGGTGGTGCCCAGGAGGGGAGAGAGCAAGGGAGCACAAGGGGCCGGATGGGCGACATGGGGCAAGGGAGCCGAGGAGGTCGAGAGGAGCAAGAAGGGCAAGGGGAGAAGCGAAGGTTTATGTGTGTCACTCAACGGCCACTAGCGCACGCCTCACAATGCATTTAAGTCAACCGTGAATGGTGCATGCAGCACAGGGCATGGCGCATGGAATATAGGATTATGGGAACCGGAAACGGGGCATGGAGTATCATTGTCTATGGAGCATGGACATAAGGCATGAGATCGCACCCCTCAGCATAGTCACTCACAGGCACATGTTTCACTGGGGAGCACGATTAGGCCAGGCTTGCACAAGCAGAGTCCATCAACGCAGTAGCCAGTGGTCTTTTTGCAGTCCTTCACATCGCGGCACGTGGCTGGTGGAGTGGAGGCACGGCAGGGAGGAAAAAATCTTTCAAAATAGAGATTGCGGGTTAAGAGGCGGCTTTCGAGGCACCTCACAAGCAGAGTCCATCAACGTAGTACCCAGTGGTCTTCTTGCAGATCGCGGCACGTGGCTGGTGGAGGCACCACAGAGAGGAGCGTAGCACAGGGGTAGACGGGCGCAGAAGATTGGGGGGGTGAGAGACAGGAGAACACGGTTCTAGAGCAGGCCTGGCTAGGGCTGCGTCTCTCTTACGGATCCCAGCAGGGAGAGAGAACTTGCAGGATAGATTGAGACAGCAGCAGCCTCAGGAGCAGCAGCAGCAGCAGCAGCAGCAGCAGCAATGGGGCCGACAGCAACAGCAGCAATGACGGCAGCAGCAGTAGCAGCAGATTCAGTAGCAGCAGCAGGCGTGGGCCGCGTGGCGGCAGCAGGGTGCATCAACTCACCGACACAGGCTTGCACGTCCGCGTTCCACAATTTCCGCTTAAGACAGGCTGGAAGAGGGAGACACAAACCCAAACTGAATGATGATACACACGTGCGTGCCACGCCGCCTGCATGTTGTTTTACGTACCGATGCATGCCCCAGAGACATTTCTGAAGCCCTGCTTGCAAATGCACCATGCCTGGTCACCTGTGCCCTTGACACAGGTGGTCTTGCCTCCACAGTTCTGCACAATGCACGAGTCTGGAAGGAAGGAAGATTGGAGAGGGGGGCGGGGGGAGAGATAACAAGGGATTGGGGTGCTCGGGCGGGGTCAACGCGTGAGGATTTTCAAGAGAATGAGCGATTGGGATGGGTTGTTGGGTGGAGGAGAGAGCGCAGGAGAGAGGAAAACACACACAGTGCCACAGGCACAGCACCAGCCAGCCATGCAGCGACTCCAGCCACACTCACCGATGCAGCGACCATTGGAAGTCATGGTGAATCCATCGTTGCAACCACATGTTTCATTCCTTCCTGCATTCTTGTAACAGAAGGCATTCGCTCCACATTTGTTCACAGTGCATGGCTCTGAGGGGAAAGGGGAGAGAAGGGAAGGAGAGGCACAGGAGGCAGTGATGGGGAGGAAGTGAGGAGAGTTGGTTTGCAAGCATGACTCTCACAAAGGGTGAAAGGAGGGGAAGATGAAATGAGGAAGCAGGGACAGCTGAGCCAGAAACACCCAAGCCTTGCATTGAGCAGCGCCGTGTGGAAGCGACAAAAGGGGCCACTCGCACTGAGCCATTTGGCTGTGCAGATAGCCGTGAGACGCACCGTGTGACTGTGCACTGAGTCCCACGGCTATTTCCACAGCCACTGCAGCATTACTCACCCTTGCAGCCCAAGGGAGTCATGGTGTAACCACTGTTACAAGCGCACGTGTTGCTCCCTTTGGCATTCTTGTAACACACGGCATCGGATCCACACTCGTTCCGGTCGCATGGTACTGGGTGCAGGGGTAACAGCAGGGGAGGCAAGGGCACGGCAAGAATTGAGTCCCTTCGAAAGACATTACTTAAGACTTTATCTGCTCTTTTCTTTCGTGACCACTGCTCTTGCACCGTTACAGGCGATGTTGGGGCATGGGGCGGGTGAGAGGTGTGGGGCGAAGGGAGGGCATGGGAGAGGAGGTGGCAGAGGGGGAGAGAGCAAGGGAGCACAAGGGGCCGGATGGGCGTATGGGGCAAGGGATGGCACCCTCAACGTAGTCACTCACACCAGCCCTCAGCATAGCCACTCACACCAGCCCTCAGCATAGTCACTCACACCAGCCCTCAGCATAGCCACTCACACCAGCCCTCAGCATAGCCACTCACACCAGCCCTCAGCATAGCCACTCACACCAGCCCTCAGCATAGCCACTCACTCCAGCTCTCAGCATAGCCACTCACTCCAGCCCTCAGCATAGCCACTCACTCCAGCTCTCAGCATAGCCACTCACTCCAGCCCTCAGCATAGCCACTCACTCCAGCTCTCAGCATAGCCACTCACTCCAGCTCTCAGCATAGCCACTCACACCAGCCCTCAGCATAGCCACTCACTCCAGCTCTCAGCATAGCCACTCACTCCAGCCCTCAGCATAGCCACTCACTCCAGCTCTCAGCATAGCCACTCACACCAGCCCTCAGCATAGCCACTCACTCCAGCTCTCAGCATAGCCACTCACTCCAGCTCTCAGCATAGCCACTCACTCCAGCTCTCAGCATAGCCACTCACTCCAGCTCTCAGCATAGCCACTCACTCCAGCTCTCAGCATAGCCACTCACTCCAGCTCTCAGCATAGCCACTCACTCCAGCTCTCAGCATAGCCACTCACTCCAGCTCTCAGCATAGCCACTCACTCCAGCTCTCAGCATAGCCACTCACTCCAGCTCTCAGCATAGCCACTCACTCCAGCTCTCAGCATAGCCACTCACTCCAGCTCTCAGCATAGCCACTCACTCCAGCTCTCAGCATAGCCACTCACTCCAGCTCTCAGCATAGCCACTCACTCCAGCTCTCAGCATAGCCACTCACTCCAGCTCTCAGCATAGCCACTCACTCCAGCTCTCAGCATAGCCACTCACTCCAGCTCTCAGCATAGCCACTCACTCCAGCTCTCAGCATAGCCACTCACTCCAGCTCTCAGCACAGTCACTCACAGGCACATGTCTCATCGGGGAGCATCACAAGGCCAGTCTTGCACAGGCACATTCCATTGACGCAGTAGCCAGAGGTCTTTTTGCAGTCCCTGACATCGCGGCACGTGGCTGGTGGGCACGGCAGAGGAGCGTAGCGCAGGGGGTAGACAAGCGCAGAAGATTGGGGGGGTGAGAGGCAGGAGACCCGGTGTAGAACAGGCCTGGGTACGGCTGCTTCTCCTTGACGGATCACAGCAGGGAGAGAGAACTTGCAGGATAGATTGAAACAGCAGCAACAGCACGAGCAACAGCAGCAGCAGCAGCAGCAGCAGCAGCAGCAGCAGCAGCAGCAGCAGCAGCAGCAGCAGCAGCAGCAGCAGCAGCAGCAGCAGCAGCAGCAACAGCGGCAATGGTGACAGCAGCAGCGGCAGCAGCGTCAGCGGCAGCAGCTGCAGCAGGCGAGGCGACACAAGAGTGCATCAACTCACAGACACAGGCTTGCACGCCAGCGCTCCATGATTTCCCCTTAGGACAGGCTGGTGGTTTCACTGGCGACAAACGGACAGCCTTAGCGTGAGGCATGACGGCTGGAAGGAAAGGGGAGGAGAGGAGAGGAGAGGGGGACGGAGGGGAGGGGAGTTTGGAGATAGAGATGGGAAGCTTTAGGGTTTAGGGAGGGAAAGGAAGGAAGGAAGAATCTTGGCAACCAGCCGATCAGCCTCGGCCTGATGAATGCAGCTAGGGGAGAGGCGGAGGAAGGAAAGATAGGCAGAGGAGAGGAGAGGCACGGCGGCGATTGTCACCAGCGACGATACGATGGCGACGGTCATTCTCAAATGACGCCAGCAAGAATCACGAGAACCACGTGCGACGATCTTCTCGTGCGTAGATCATCACTGCTGATGATCACCATCATGGGACGGTCATGGGCGACGGTCATGGGCGACGGGGTCATGGGCGACGAATCACCATCATGGGCGACGGTCATGGGCGACGGGGTCATGGGCGACGAATCACCATCATGGGCGACGGTCACGATCATAGGCGACGAATCACCGTCATGGGCGACGAATCACCATCATGGGCGACAAATCACCATCATGGGCGACGAATCACCATCATGGGCGACGAATCACCATCATGGGCGACGAATCACCATCATGGGCGACGAATCACCATCATGGTCGACTCGACGAATCACCACGAGCTACGATCATCAACAGCATCATCATCAGCACCGACGATCGTCGGCGACAGTCAGCAGCAGTGCGATCATACTAGCTGCTCCAAGTTGGAACGGCAACGACGCTTATTACTACAACATGAGAATTACTTCCTTCGACTCCAAGGGTCGGAGTCCTCACCTGCTACGAGCATCAGAGTCGCCAGCAGCGCTCGAAGCCCAATGCGGCGGCGGCCGCAGCCGAAAGTTGGCCTGGTGATGATCATGTTCCTCACAGAGCAAGAGCGCGAGCGAGAGAGAGCGCGGCGCTCATGCAGCGAAAGCCAAGGCATGAATGTGCCACCAAAGGGTCGATGACTCATCGGATGGGTTTCTGACCGGAAATATGAGCAAGCCGCTATGGGCTTCGCGGCTACTAGTTCGTTGAATGGTGGCGCGGAAAGGAAAGCTGAATACAACCGAGACCACGGAAAGGCTTCATCAAACGGTGGATAGTCCGCCCGTCACCGGATGAGAGGAAACGTGTTTTGAGAGACTCAAACACGCCCGTCACGGACGTGCGAGTCCTCGGAGGAAACTTGCGCATATTTCTTCCGCCGCCGGCTCCGGGCCGCTAGCAAAACCTAACTTCGCTACTCAGCCTTGGAGGGGGCAATGGGGGGACTCCGCTGACGGGGGGAATGTTTTTTCGAGCGGAGCGTGACTGCTAGGAACCAGCCGCCTGAGGCGGCTCGGGGAAACAGCCGTCTCATTTGTATGTGGCACTAGATATACCTTGGCCAACTGCAGTGTGTTGTGAATCCGTCCGAAACAGCATCGCCTTGAGGAGTCATTTGGGACAGATAATACCACCATCTCGATAGTTAACTGGGCAAGTTGAGCCCGCCAGATGATACCACCACCACCCGCCTAAACGGCTCGGGGAGCCGTCTCCTCGTAGATACACTCTATACATACTGTACAGTATCACGCGTAAACTCGCTTGATGATGGAGCTTGTCCGATTGGCCAAGCCCGCACAAAGGCGACTCGCACCTGAGTCGTCTCCCAGCCAACCAGCCACACAATCAATCCTCACAAACGGTTCGTCTGCTAGGCTGCACAAACGAGTGACTCTGCAGCAGGGCTGTCGCTAGGTGCTAAGCTGCCCCGAAATCAACCCTGAAGGATCTGGAAAGCGGTCTTCCATTCAGGGCATTTCTGTTTAGCTTTGAGGATACTTGCGTAAAACAAATTTTAGATAGTCGAGCTAGACACGTTAGGGGAACGGGAGCGACTGGTGTGGTGTTACTGGGAGGAGGGGAGAGGGACCAGTTCGCGGTCTAAGGTCAGAAAGAAAGGGGGGAGGGGAAGTGGGAGGGGCGGACAGGTACGGGAAATCCGGGGAGGGCCAGAACCTGCCCGTTAGGAGTCCGGGCCTGGGAAAAACCAGCCCTGAAAATCTCTGAGCTGATCTGAAACGAACCCTGAATTCTCAGGGAAAACGGACAAATGTACGTGAATCGACAGGCCCGCTCTGCAGCCAAAGAGAGAAATGCTTGTGAGGCTAAACTGCACATCATGAACAGTGCATTCTTGGCTGACAAACGGGCCCGACGACCCTCTGACGACTTTACGACATGCTGCCCCGGGCAGGAAAAAACTAAAACCCCATCGGATGGCATGCCATCCGAGGGAGGCATCAACCCTAAATCCATGCCTCCCCGTGTTTAGGGTTGATGCCTCCCTGACCGGATGCGCGCCCTTCCGGAGTTTATTTTTTTTGCCCGCGGGCAGCGAGCTTCCCCGGGCGGACTCGCTTGTCCGCTGAGATTTACTATTCGAAATTGCACATCATGAACAGTGCATTCTTGGCTGACAAGTAAACAAGCGCGCGGTGGTTACAGGAGTGGCTCCCTGTCATAACATTATAGCTTATATATATTTGTGTAGGCTATAGTGGGGTATCCCATAGGGGGTACAACCCAAACAGGGTTCCCTATATGTACTCACTTCATTCATAGTTGATCCGATCCTCGTTCTACTTTTCTCATGGTATCGAGCAGGTTCCCCCGTGGGAACTGTGCTTAGGGCCCACCACATCGAACTTTTTTTTTCTGCCCGGAGCGCGCTCCGGGCCCTCTCTCTCACTTTGTCGACCTGCCCTAACGGCCCCTAGACGCCCGCGCGCCGCCCTTAGACGCCCGCGCGCCGCCCGTCCCGGCCCCTAGACGCCCGCGCGCCGCCCTT